CTACTGACATTTTCAACAAGATAATACTCTTTGTCAAGGGGACTATTTTGTACATCAGAGGATCCCTAGATGTCTGTAGCAGTGCTTCCCACCTCCCACAGTCGTGACAGCCAGAAATGCCTCCAGATGTTGCCAAATGTCCCCTGAGAGGCAAAATTACCCCTATGACAGACAACTGGTCTGTTCTTATGGTGACAACAGACCATTAAATTATCACTCTTCATTAATTTTTGTAATTGCTGCATCTGGTGAAACTTGTTCTTCTTCATTCTTTATTTGCAACAATTTCCTGAATACTCTTTGGACTTATTTTCAGAGATATACTTCAGAATTACAATATTTAGAGGCAGAAACAAAGATCCTGATGCAAATTTGAGCAGAAATATCTTCAAAATGTGGCTATGTGCAGAGTGTACATCGTTGAAGTTGATTGTACTTCCATGGAGGTGATGCCTCTGTCACCTCATCAAGAAACACTCACTTGTCTGCACATAGATCTCAACATGGCATTAGCCCTAATCCTCCAAATTTCATATATATTTTGCAGGACATATGACTTTAATTTAATATGTGTTGTTATGTATAATGTATGTATTTACACAATGTTTAGAAAAGTCACCCTTTCATCAGTTGTAGTAATTGTCCAGTTATTTTATCTCTAGCTTGTCAAATGAACAATGCTCTCATCTCCAGTAGCAATATTTGCTTCTTCCATCTTATTCATCAGAGTGATCATTGTGTTTCCTGACATGAAGTTGGAGATGAAAGCAATGATAAACACTCAGAGTGAAAAGAAACATTTTTGGCTGTCGTTTGGATTGGCTCCTCCTTTCAATGGGCTGCCTCTCACTCACCAGTTCCTCTTCATGCTCTGCTCCTAAACATCTTCTCTGAGTACTAGGCTGGACTGGCAGTCATTGTGCCAGAGAGTGACTATGGGATTTTAGCACCAAAAAGTGACTAATAATACAGAGGCACCCTCTTCAGATTTCAACCAAGCGCGGGGCAATCTATCCCACACTGGGGATTTTAATAAGGTTAGTGGGGAAGAACAAAGTTGCTTCTGATTCTCACAAAGGGTCTGTCCTAGTTAACCATTATTCCTAATTTCATAGTAAGAGGTGAAGTGTGCTCAGTGGCAAAGCTTGGTTTGAGTCAGACAAACTGGTGATGAATCTGAGCACCCTCCTGACTACCTGTGTAAAGTCAGACAAGTCACTTAGCTCCCCTAAGTCTGTTTTCTCTCTTATCAAATAGGATCATTCTAGTGCTTCCATGTTAGAAGTCTGTGAAGATGAAAAGTCATGAACCAATCCACCTACGGCACTGAGTGCAGTGCGTTGCACTTAGTAAGCCTCCCTTATGTGCCTTTATTATTAGTGTCAGCATTCCTGTTACTATTCTCACTGTCATTGTCATCATCATCTTTATAACGACTTAGAAAGCAGAACTTCTCTCACTGGAATCTATGACATTTTACACTGCAGATGACCCAATGTTCCTTGACAGGTAAGGTTGCAGCTGGCCTGTAGGACTACTGAGACCTAATGCTTTTAATAAAGTTCTGTGATGACTGTTTTGATTTCTTCTATGGGTGCTTACTTTCCCATATTTTGAAATCTTCACTAAATAAATGTTGTGATAATTAGTTTTGGGTAATTCATGCCTTCCCCACTAGACAGAACAATTTGGTTCATCCTTCTTCCCACCACTACCTCAAAAACCGTGTCCTAGTTCAGTCAGACCATGAAGAAAAAGTAGTTTTAAGTGTGCCAACATATATTTTGATTTTGTGCCAATTAAAGGTCTCCCATACTTCCCAGCACAAAAAGGATCAAATACTCTCTTATTTTCATTCAGAGCTAAGAGGATGTTGGTTCACAGCGTCAAGAGTTCTCGGGGTAATATCTGAAACTGGCTCCCATACGTGGAGGGCAAGGGCAGACTGAAGAAAGAGGCAGATCACTCCAGATTGGTAGGTGGCAGTTTTAATACACAAGGGAACTTATATATGAGGCTTGTCTTAGGCGGTGCAAGATGAGTAGATCTCTGCACCCACCCCCTAGAGTCTTAAAGTTTATATAGAGGCTTTAATGGGGTTCAGTAATGTCTACAGTCCAGGTGGTCTTGACAACACATTATTCTCTCCAGGCTGCATCCTTGAAATGGCTCTTAGTTTGGGAACAGTGGGTGGAATGTAAATTCCAAAGACAGGGGAGGGGGTAAGGAGCCTCTGATTGCTGGAGTCCAGCTGGAGGGTCAACCAGTGGTCACATCCTCACAATGACCTCCTCCAATAGAGCAGCTTCTTGAACCTTGGGTAACTCCCTCCATTAGGGCCATTTTTCAAAGTCATTGGAAAAATATCTCTCTCCATACCTACAAATAACTCCCTGTGCTGCTGCTGCTTTTTTTTTCTGTGAGGAAGATCAGCCCTGAGATAACATCCAATGCCAATCCTCCTCTTTTTGCTGAGGAAGACTGGCCCTGGGCTAACATCCATGTCCATCTTCCTCTACTTTCTATGGGACAATGCCACAGCATGGCTTGACAAGGGGTGCATTGGTCTATGTCCGGGATCTGAACCTGTGGACCCCGGGCTGCTGAAGTGGAGCGCGTGAACTTAACCCTGAACTTAACCACTACGCCACGGGGCCGGCCCCCTCCCCGTGCTTCCTAAGTGGAGCCCTTTGTTTGGCTTAGAAGACCACCTCGTAGGATAGTCTTCAGTTCTTATGGGCTTCCCTCACTGCAGGTGGATGCAGTATACTCTGGCCCTCATGTTTGCCATGATGGAGATCACAGGAACCACATGCTCTTACCAAAGACAACCTTCAGATATCATGTCTATTGTGCTGACCACAGTGATTAAAGGACCTTTGAGAGCACTATGATGCGACCTCAGGACAGAGCCAGACTGTCCCTAATGTTACTTGTGAGAAGCAGAACAATTTATGAATTCATCAGTGCAGGAAGCACATCCCCAGTTTCTGCCCAGATGGGGCCACTACTGGAAATGTACAATTCTCACAGGTGCAAATGAAAGTAGGGTGAGGAAGGGCAGTGAGGAAATGTAGTTTCCTCAGCACCATGTTTCTGACAGTGTGTGAGAGGGGAGCCAGACATGTGCATCTTCCCAGATGAATGAACATTCTTAGGACGATGTGTCTTTTATCTGAGATGGAGTTGAGGAGTTAAGAGATAAAACACAAAAAAGGAGGCATTCCTGACTTAAGAAATCAGAGTGGTTTCCAGGAAACCTGCTTCTAGACTATTATTGTCCAGATAGTTCTTAAAGGAAAGATGAGAAACAGCTAATGAAATGGAAATATCTTCTCCATCTCTCAATGCTTGATGCTGAATATCCACAGAACTTTTCTTCCTACACTGGATGGGTGACTGATCAAATGCTGCTGCCCAGCAGGGTTCCCCCTTTATGATGAACACTTGTTTCAAACTGGACCTTCCTCTTCTGTTTTCATTGACATCACTTATGGTTCTTTGGCTCTGCCCCTCAGTTTCCATCTGTCGCTGGGTGTGGTGGAAGTATTGCTGAAATTTAAGTGGGCTTGGGTGGGGCTGTTGACTCAGATGATATCAAAGTGAGCATTTCCTCAGGGAATTGGGAGAGAAAATGGTCAGAAATCCTATCTGTGCATACCGTATGGAGAGGATGCCTGTCACAGAGTGATTCTAACATTGTCACAATGAACGTTACTCTCTAGTATCATAGACTCACCAATCAGTGAGATGATTGTTTAGATGAAACCCAGTTTTCTGATAAGTCTCTTTATAGATGAATTAAACAGTGTAACCACAAGTAAGGGGTGGTTCATGACCAAAGAGAATGATTTAACCACCAGTGAGAAAGAGTTCTTGCTTATATTTTCCATGGAATACAAATATTTTCATGTCAGAAATATTTTCTCAAGTTAACCATTCTGAATACCCAGAAGTCACTTTTCTTCTGAAGTGGTGGCTTGTTTTTTTCCCAGTGCTCTTATTCTGAATCGAACTAAAGTGATGGAAGGATGCCCACCTAACGTATCCCTGGTGCTGTATCTAAACTCAGTGAGTTCACCTCTTGGTGATTGCAGAGCCATATAGTACAACCAAGGCAGAGGAAGAAATGTTTATTACTTGCAGAAGCAATGGAGAACACTGGGGATCTCTCCCAAAGCAGTGTCTCCCCAAACAAGTGTGTGTGTGGGGCCTTTTATTGTTATATCATAATACAGTTCATGAATATTCAGTTGAGGAAAAGGCAGGAGATCAGGGTTTACTGCCTAACAGTCATGTTCTTTTAAGACTAAAGGGTAGATGTACACATGGTACTACCTACATCGCATGATCTAGAAATGGCTGCTTGGTCCCTCCCAGAGGAGGAGAATTTAAAATGTTAATGAGATTATAATGGAGACAGCTCACTTCAGTTCTCTTAAGGGCCGTTTGAGGCGGCTAGAACTGGCTTCAGCTAGCTTGCTTGTGGGAACCTTCCGTGGTTAGCCTCTTTCTGAAACTTTCCATCTGCAAAACACTCAAAAGATAATGTTAGTTTTTATCAGATCCTTGGTACCCCTTTCTTTGCCTAGTTCCCTGGTCACAGTATCTGTGCCTGTGTACCTATTTTGCAAAACTATGTCAGACTCCAGTTGTCAAAAAAGATCAAAAAGGAGAGACTAATTATTGCCTATGGTGAGGTGACTTTCAATTGTGTGTGTTTGTAAAGAAGGTTTGCAGTTCCAGGAGTCGCCTCCCAACACTGCTTTTCAATGTAAAAGTCCCTGCAGAGGGCGAGTTCTGGCTGGCTTTCTGCTCAAACACCTAACTTCAGGCGGCTGTCACTCAGAGACAAGGGGACGAATCTTTTGAACTGTCCAATCAGAGGCGGCGCTGGGGCAGGTGGGTGGGGTGAAGCTCCCCACCCACCGGGAAGTTGCTGCTGGCTCCAGCCACGTTGGGGATCGCGTCTCCCCTCTTTTAAAGGTTCTCCATGGCTCTGCCTCCTATTCTGTCGAGTTGTGACCTCTACCAACTGCAGGAGTCATAGGAAGGATGCTGGGGGACCCAAGAAACCTAGAAATGGTGAGTGTGAACCCCAGGGTGAGGATACGGGGAGGAGGGGCTGGTCAGAACCCACTGTGGTGGGACTCTGCCTTCCCATGGTCATCTCCAGAGTCTGTGGACCCAAGCCCATAGGTGGCACTGGGTGGACCTCAGTCCCCTCTGGCTCAAAGTGTGGGGTCTGGGGTGGCATCTGGGACCCCAGGCATCCTGTCTATCACTGTGTGCAGTGACATCGGCCCCGGAGCCTCTCTGGGCAGCTCTGTGCCCGCAGCCCCGCGTGTCCCCAGATGGTGCGGTGAAATCATGTGGTGTTTGTCTTTCTCTTTGTGGCTTATTTCACTTAACATAATACCCTCCAAGTCCATCCATGTTGTTGCAAATGGGACGATTTTATCTTTTTTTATGGCTGAGTAGTATTCCATTGTATATATATATACCACATCCTCTTTATCCACTCATCAATCAAGGGACTCTTGGGTTGCTTCCATGTCTTGGGTATAGTGAATAATGCTGCAGTGAACATAGGGGTGCATAGGCCTCTTTGGATTGTTGATTTCAGGATTGTTGGGTAGATACCCAATAGTGGGATAGCCAGATCATAGAGTATTTCTATTTTTAATTTTTTGAAGAATCTCCATACTGTTTTCCATAGAGGAAGCACCAGTTTGCATTCCCACCAGTAGTGAATTAGGGTTCCCATTTCTCCACAGCCTCTCCGGCATTTGTTGTTTTTTGTCTTGGTGATTATAGCCATTCTAACGGGTATAAGATGATATCTTAGTGTAGTTTTGATTTGCATTCTCTGATGATTAGTGATGTTGAACATCTTTTCATATGCCTATTGGCCATCTGTATATCTTCCTTGGGAAATTATCTGTTCATTTCCTCTGCCCATTTTTTGATCTGGTTGTTCATTTTTTTTGTTGTTCAGTTGTGTGAGTTCTTTATATATTATGGAGATTAACCCCTTGTCAGATACATGATTTGCAAATATTTTCTCCCAACTGGTGGATTGTCTATTCATTTTGATCCTGGTTTCATTTGCCTTGTAGAAGCTCTTTAGTCTGATGAAGTCCCACTTGTTTATTTTTTCTTTAGTTTCCCTTGTCTGAGTAGACATCGTATCCGAAAAGATTCCTTTATGACCAATGTCAAATAGTGTATTGCCTATATTTTCTTGTAGGAATTTTATAGTTTCAGGTCTCACCTTAAAGTCTTTGATCCATTTTGAGTTAATTTTTGTGAATGGCGATAGCAGGTGGTCCACTTTCATTCTTTTGCATGTGGCTGTCCAGTTTTCCCAACACCATTTATTGAAGAGACTTTCCTTTCTCCATTGTATGTTCTTAGCTCCTTTGTCGAAGATTAGCTGTCCATAGATGTGAGGTTTTATTTCTGGGCTTTCAATTCCATTCTATTGATCTGTGTGTCTGTTTTTGTACCCATACCGTGCTGTTTTGATTACTATCACTTTGTAGTATGTCTTGAAGTCAGGGATTGTGATGCCTCCAGCTTTGTTCTTTTTTCTCAGGATTGCTTTAGCTATTTGGGGTCTTTTATTGCCCTGTATGAATTTTAGAATTCTTTTTTCTATTTCCATGAAGAAGGTCATTGGGATTCTGATTGGGATTGCATCGAATCTGTAGATTGCTTCAGGTAGTATGGACATTTTAACTGTTTATTCTTCCAATCCAAGTGCATGGAATATTTTTCCATTTCTTTATGTTATCATTGATTTCTTTCAATAATATCATAGTTTTCATTGTATAGGTCTTTCACTTCTTTGGTTAAATTTATTCTTAGATATTTTATTCTTTTTGTTGCAATTGTAAATGGGATTGTCTTATTGAGCTCTCTTTCTGTTAGTTCATTGTTGGTATATAGAAATGCAACTCATTTCTGTAAGCTGATTTTGTACCCTGCAACTTTGCAGTAGTTGATTATTTCTAAGAGTTTTCCAATGGATTCTTTAGGGTTTCCTATCTATAAGATCATGTCATCTGCAAACGTTGAGAGTTTCACTTCTTCATTGCCTATTTGTATTCCTTTTATTCCTTTTTCTTGTCTAATTGCTCTGGCCAGAACCTCCAGTACTGTGTTGAATAAGAGTGGCGAGCATGGGCACCCACGTCTTGTTCCTGTTTTCAGAGGGATGGCTTTCAGTTTTTCCCTGTTGAGTATGATGTTAGCTGTGGGTTTGTCATATATGGCCTTTATGGTGTTGAGGCACGTTCCTTCTGTACCCATTTTGTTGAGAGTTTTTATCATAAATGGATGTTGGATCTTGTCAAATGTCTTCTCTGCATCTATTCAGATGAGCATTGGTTTTTACTCTTCATTTTGTTAATGTGGTATTGATTGATTCATGGATGTTGAACCATCCCTGTGTCCCTAGTATAAATCTCACTTGATCATGTTGTATGATCTTTCTAATGTATTGCTGTATTTGGTTTGCCAATACTTTGTTGAGGATTTTTGCATCTATGTTCATCAGGGATATTGGTCTGTAGTTCTCTTTCTTAGTATTGTCTTTGTCTGGCTTTGGTATCAGGGTGGTGTTGGCCTCGTAGAACGTGTTGAGAAGTGTTCCATCTTCCTCTACTTTTTGTAATAGTTTGAGAAGGAGAGGTATTAAATCTTCTTTGAATGTTTGGTAAAATTCTCCAGAGAAGCCATCTGGTCCTGGACTTTTATTTTTTGGGAGGTTTTTGATTACTGTTTCAATCTCTTTACTTTTGATTGGTCTATTCAGGTTCTTTATTTCTTCTTGATTCAGTTTTGGGATGTTGTGTGGGTCTAGGAATTTATCCATTTCTTCTAGATTGTCCAATTTGTTGGCATATAGTTTTTCATAGTATTCTCTTATAATCTTTTGTATTTCTGTGGTATCCGTTGTAATTTCTCCTTTTTCATTTCTAATTTTATTTATTTGAGCCTTCTCTCTTTTTTTCTTGGTGAGTCTGGCTAAGGGTTTGTCAATTTTGTTTATCTTCTCAAAGAACCAGCTCTTTGTTTCATTGATCCTTTCTACTGTTTTTTTTTTAATTTCAATTTCATTTATTTCTGCTCTGATTTTTATTATTTCCCTCCTTCTTCTGACTTTAGGCTTTGTTATTCTTTTTCTAATTCTGTTAGGTATGGTTTGAGGTTGTTTATTTGGGCTTTTTCTTGTTTGTTAAGGTGGGCCTGTATTGCTATGAGTTTCCCTCTCAGGACCGCTTTTGCTGCATCCCATATGAGTTGGTATGGTGTATTTTCATATTCATTTGTCTCCAAATATGATTTGATTTCTCCTTTAATTTCATCAATGATCCATTGGTTGTTTAGCAGCGTGTTGTTGAGTCTCCACATCTTTGTCACTTTCCCAGTTTTTTTCTTGTAGTTGATTTCTAGCTTCATGGTGTTGTGGTCAGAAAAGATGCTTGTTATGATTTCAATCTTCTTGAATTTATAAAAGCATGCCTTATTTCCCAACATGTGGTCTATCCTTGAGAATGTTCCATGCGCACTTGAGAAGAATGCATAATCTACTGTGTTTGGATGGAGTGTTTTATATATATCTATTAAGTCCATCTTGTCAAGTTTTTTGTTTAAGTCCATTATTTCTTTATTGACTTTCTGTCTGGGTGATCTATCCATTGATGAAAGTGGGGTGTTAAGATCCCCTAATGTTATTGTGTTGTTAATATCTCCTTTTAGGTTTGTCAGTAGTTGCTTTATGTACTTTGGTGCTCCTGTGTTGGGTGCATATATATTTATAAATGATATGTCTTCTTGGTGGAATGTCCCTTTTATCATTATGTATTGCCCCTCTTTGTCTCTTATTACCTGTTTTATCTCGAAGTCAACTTTGTCTGATGCAAGTATGGTAACGCCTGCTTTCTTTTGTTTGCCATTAGCTTGGAGTATTGTCTTCCATCCTTTCACTTGGAGCCTGTGTTTGTCTTTATAGCTGAGATGTGTTTCCTGGAGGCAGCATATGGTTGGGTTTTGTTTTCTAATCCATCCCACCGCTCTGTGTCTTTGGATTGAGGAGTTATGTCAATTTACATTTAGGGTAATTATTGACATATGAGGGCTTATTGTTGCTATTTTATCACTCATTTTCTGGTTCTTTTGCATTTCTTTTGTTTCTCGTCCCATGTGTTTTGGACTACCAGTTCAGTTTGGTAGTTTTGTATGGGGAGTCACTTAGTTTTCTCTTTCTTTATTGTATGTGACTCTGTTCTGATTATTTGCTTAGTGGTTACCATGAGGTTTGTGTAAAAAATTTTGTGGGTGTGTTAGTCCATTTTTTGGTGGCCCTTATTCCCTTAGACTAAGTCGATCAATCCCTTTCCTCTTCTCCTTCTAAGTTATTGTTGTCACATCTTATTCCATCTTGTGTTGTGAGCTTGTGCTTAAAGTGATAAGGTTACATTTATTTTGGGTGTTTACCTTCCCTTGATCTTTGTTTTTATAATTAAGTGTTTGCTAATCTGTTCTTATAGAGAGCTGCAATTTTTCTGGTTTTGTCAACCTATTTTCTTCCTTGTTCAAAACTTTGTATCCCTTTTCTCTTTTTTTTCTCAGGCATGAGGGCCTTCTTGAGCACTTCTTGTAGTCGGGGTCTTGTGTCAGCGAACTCCCTTAGCTTTTGTTTATCAGGGATAGTTATTATTTCTCCATCATATCTGAAGGATATTTTTGCTGGATATAGTATTCTTGGCTGAAAGTTTTTGTCTTTCAGAATTTTGAATATATCATTCAACTCTCTCCTAGCCTGTAAAGTTTCTGTCGAGAAATCAGCTGAAAGCCTGATAGGAATTCCTTAGTGCATTATTTTTTTTGTCTAGCTGCCCTTAATATTTTTTCTTTGTCGTTGACTTTTGCGAGCTTTACTGCTATATGCCTTGAAGAGGCATGAAAATATATTTTCATGTTGATATATTTAGGCGATCTATGTATTTCATTCACTGGTATGTCCAGCTCCTTCCCCAGGTGTGGGAAGTTCTCAGCTATTATTTCTTTGAATGAAC